AATGACAGAATTGAAGTATGTAATTGTTAATAAAAGTAATGTATTTAGCATGAATTTATCATAATGGAATGTTTCTATTCAAATTTCTTTTTCAAAATTTCACTGTTTTTCTTGGTGATTATGACTATCAAGATCATGATTAATTAGCGGTGGAATATTTGTTTTACATTTGTCAATTTATCATACTATTGAATATTGAACAACAGAATAAATATGCATGCATGTACTATAGTGTTTTGCGTTCTTGGTAAATTATTTCCTTTGTAAAGTTATTCTAGATTGCATGAGAAAACTATCAGAAATGATCTAATGAAATTCTACTGGTGGACGATGCTGCAATTTCGTGGATTGATTAAAGTTAGACATAATTACTATTGGATGCTGGCTCAGTGGTCTACAGGTTAAGCGTTCACGCGCGAGACCGAAAGTTTTGAGTTAGAATTCCGTGAGCGAGATCGTGGATTAGCACTGCTGAGGAGTTGCATACTACGACGAGATGGCTGTCTGGTGCTTCCAGGTTTTCTATGCTGGTCTAGCTTTCATCGAATCATGAATTTAACTAATAAATCCTACTGTATTTCCTTATGATGATGAAATTTTTTAATTTGTTTTCAACTTGTAGTATAATGGATGATGTATCGAAGAAAGTTAAAAAATTAAAAAATAACAACTGGATATTATTTTGATCAATCAAAAAATTCAACTAACTAACGGCCGTCCAGTGCCTCCAGGTTTTCAATGGCAGTCTAACATCGATCGATTCGTGATCTCAATAGAAAAATTCTAAACAGTAGATCTATGTAATCACAATTGACTGATCACTGGGTGGTGATCAGTGTCATGCGTATCGAGTCCTTATTTAGTGCAGATCGAATGCTATCGACCATGTTGCAATGTGGCCATCAGTCTAGGTGACTGGACACTGCATGCACCATATATTGAGATTAAATGGTGGTCCCGCAGGAGGTCAGTCGCGGCCCGGATATCTCAGTGGTAACGTCTCTGACTGTGAAGCTGGGTGACATGGGGTTGAATCCGTCAGTGAGCACCAGTCCCCTCAAGATTACAGATACACCTTGCTGACGAGTGCCAAGTAGCACGAAACCCAGGTCCAGGGTTTTCTGTCAACTACCTCCAACCACCATCTAATCTCAGTAAATCATGTCTCATGTAAATGCTCATATTAGGAACACATTAACCGTAGTAAAAATATTAAAAGACACATCTGTAGCTTATTAAAAATAGGTTTTACTCAATTATGAAATTAATACAACAGATCAATTTACCTAAAATTGATACTACTATAAAGAATTTCACAATCATGAGGTTTAAGTACCACAATTTAAATAATGTGACTATAATTTATTCTATAAACCCGAATGGATATATTCAAGAAAGTGTAGTAGACTTTTATTAAATGAGAACATAAGATACCGAGTGGTTGAATAGAATAAATATCTGCTTTTCTATATCATAAGTGATTGTCTACTTAGTATGTTATAATAATCGAAGCTCATTAGCCCGAATTCTACCAACCATTCAGTAAATACAATTGGCTGATCACTATTTGTCTAGGCCTTGGTACTAGTCCAATTCTATCGATCAAGTTGTAATGTGGCCGGTGGTCTAAGTAACACAACATATTGTTCAGTATATTGAGTTGTTAGATGGTTTGAGGTAGTTGACAGGTGACACTAAATCTACGTTTCGTACTGTCTGACACTCACCAGTTAGGTGTATCAGTAATCTCTGGGAAACTGATGCTTCACACATAATTTGAACCTGTTTCACATAATTTCACATTGTGAAACATTCTTACTAATCTGTTCGAGCCTTCATCTAATTAACATGTAGACTTCATCTGATGAATATAACTGGGATAAACATTTCCCTGTATTGGAATTATAAGTACACCAACAACTAATTTTGTTTGTAGTGAACAAGAACACCAATGGGGACAATCAAATGTATTTAGCATAGAAATTACAGTTAATCAGTAAAATAGAAAAACCATATAGCAAATCATTAATTTGCAAAATATTAATCCATCATATCAACCTGGACTGTTCCTGTTGCAAACATCGATCCATTGTCCCACATTTCATTGTTCATAAGTTTTCTTACAAATTGCATTACATTTCCACTCTTCTTTTCTTGATTTTCCCCCATCTTCTGCTGTCAGACATTACATCCCTGACTCGCGTCATATACTACTTATATCAATATAAGTAGCACGCACCACAAGTTAACATTGTACAGATATCATTCTTTTCAAGTTATTTATTGTAACCATTTACTTTGATGTATTCATTTGCTTTGTATTGGTGTTATAACTTTACTGAACTTTCTGTGCATTTAATTTAATTATATAATTTTTATACACCACAAAATACAAGACTGGTCAATTTCAGTTCTGTCGTTAATGGAGACAGAATAAGGCCAGATGAAAATTTCAAGAAAAGAAAGCCGATATACATCTCTAGTAGCAAATTACGTATATGAATGATTGAGAAAGATTAGTATCTATATTTATCTATTTATTTATTGAGGTGGATGTTTGCCAATTTGTGAATGTGTAATATGCATTACAGCTTTTATCTCAATCCCAGGAATAACATATTTGAAAAAATTTATTTCAAAAGAAATATAAGTGATTACGTCATTGTAACAGAACACAACACTTAAGAATTCATTTTCCAAAGTAAACAGATTACAGTACATGAGGTAAGTAAATCCTCTAAGGAAATATTAAATACTAAATAATTTGTAATTTATAGACAGTTTAATGTATGTATGAACATATAAACACTTTCATTTTCAGTATGGTATGGTAGAAATTATTGAATTTCATTGAAATCGCGAATCAATCTAAGACCAATATTTAAAAACTGGAAGAAATAAAAGGCCGTTTCGTCCTGGTATGAAACTCCTCAGGAGTGATCATCCAGGATCCGAAGTGAGAGACTACAATATAGGATTTTCGTTTTCGTGCGCTTAACCTCTAGACTACTTTTATCTTTAGTTTTAATTGATTAGCAAATATTGATTATTTATCACTGAGACGTGTTTTTATTGTTAAATAGAGCAAGAAAATGACTTATAGGAACATATCAGTATATTGTATTTGTAATTGACGAAGAAAGAGTAATTCATGGCTTAAAAAATTCATCTGTCTGATGAGTAACAGACTTTTAATTTTTAAACTAACAAATTCAAAGATACTGAATCGTCAAATACTGATTTGGATAATTGGTTCACGTAAAGAATAATGGAATAAGGATATCAATGAGTGTAGTGTAGGGTGAGATTTGGTTAAATTAAATGGGAGACTGTCAGTTTATTTTAGATTACAGATTCACTTCACTAATAATTCCTAACAGTCACTTAACTTAAACTCAAAATTTAGCGTCTTATGAAAAGCCTAATTCATTATCGATCAGTATGGGCAAAGATCAAGAAACAATGAAAAATAAATAGAATGATAGTATTTGTGTTACGCTAACAATCCATTGAGTGAGATATGTTTGACACACTATCATGAACTGAATAATATTCAAAATATAAATTATTCACTAATAATTTAGCGGTTCAAAGATAACTCGAATATTCTGAACCCTGACCGTCCTAAGTTTAATTCTTGATGGGTTCATACTATGGGAGAAAGTTAAAACATAATAAAATATTAATTAAATACCTTTTAATTAATGATATAGAGTATTTTTTAATCAAAATATACTTAATAAAATGAAATAAATTAGATATTTTAATACATAATCATATTTTGGTATGAGCTACTTATATCCACATAAGTAGTATATAACGATAGTCAAGAATAGAATGTATTTCAGTAGAAGATAGAGAGGTTATAAAACAGAAACGGAGGGTAATAGGTATAAGCAATAAAATTCTAAAGTGATAGACTGGTATTTACAAAAGGAACATTCAAGTTGGAGACAACTGATTGATATTTTGCAAATTAACTATTTATGATATGTAGGTATCATTACAAAGGTTTGGCTTGATAATTTCGAATAAATTGGGCATTGAATAGATTATTATAAATAAATAATATATATTTGTAATATCTCAGCGACTAGGAAAATTAGATTTTCTGACGTTTCGTGACTTAGTGTAAGCCATTTCTTCGAAGAATAACTAACCAAATTAAAATTTGTAGTGTCGGTTACTATGTTAAGCCCATATACCTTATTCTAGCCTTCGGACAGCCCATTCTATTCATTCTACTTGAGTCACATTCTCACCTTGTTATTTATTCACTTATCAATCTTGACTGTTTTTATATGAGCGCTTAGGTGTATGTGCATTTCTTATCCCATTACTCATCACATGTCTGTAACTTACTTTTGTCTAACTGTAAATGTTGATTAACGCTTAGTTAAATGGTAGTTGGTTTACCAGCCATCTCCACTCCGCGTCGTTTCTCTTCTCTCTATTCCATTCACTTCCTATACAAAATATATGTATCCAAAATTCCATTCTCGTTATTTAACTTATTTAATTCCGTTATTGACTAACGTGATTAAAATTGATGATTATATACGAGGATAGGCGATATATATATTTCAGCAACAATCATCATTACAATCTCCTTGGAGTCAGAACTTCGGCTACTGAAGTGGAGAGCCTATTCGACGACATCGTCTGATGTAAATGACGGGCCTCTACCAAAAATTAATCCAAGTTTTAAAAAAAATAACGGAACAATAAGAATAATATTAATAATAATAAATTGATTATTTATTCTATGAAGAAGTGGCTTACACTAAGCCACGAAACATCAGAAAGTCTGTTTTTTCTATTCATTATAATATGAAAAACATATCGAGTTATTTATGATATGATTCTCAGATTTTACAAAGATGTTCTGTAATGTCTAAAAGTACATCCGGTTGTCATCACTTGTTTTCTTGTACACTATAATGTTATTACCATAATTGAATATAAATAAGAAAGATTTTTTAAAAAAAATGATTACTTACTTTGTATTGTAGAATTACATGAAATGATTTTTGGTAATTCACCATTATTGATTTTTTGACAAAAATATTTTTTTAATAAACAATCATTGATATAAATGGTACCTTCTGTATCACAAATAGGATTTAATTCATTGGGACATGATGTTAATGAACATTTATATTGATTATTATTGATTGAATTAAATTCTATTATCGGTGAATGATTAATGAATTGAGATAAATGGGGTGAATCATGTTGGAGATTTTCATCAGCTTTAATCTGTTGAATATTTTGACGAATAGAATTTTCATTTGATTTCAATGATGAAATAATCTTGTTTGTTGTTGGAGATCGATCAGTAGTGATGAGTAAAGAAGAAGAGGGAATAGCAGATATAGACATTTCTAAATGAATAAAAAGTGAACCAGAGAGGGGGGGGTGCGAAAAAAAACCAACAACGTGAATTAGTTATAATATTTATATTTTGTATTAATTTTATATATTTGATTTATTCAATGATGTATAAGTCGTACAACGTTACACATTTATACATATATGTGCATAGTGAAGATAGTGAAATATGTGAATTTCTGTGTATGTGTCCAGTACATAAATTAACATATGCTCACTAGTGACTGGCTTCACGATGTATATCCTGGAGTTTTAGTGAAAAGCAATGAGGAGTGGAATTCAACCGCGTCCGTTGTGAGATAGTAACTCACTGAAGACGATGGTGGATGTGTCGCGCAATTTGTGGATTAGTTGAAGTTAGACATTGACACTGTCGAATGCCAGCCAACCCAGCGGTCTAGTGGTTAAGTGCTCGCGCGCGCGACCAGTAGGTTATGGGTTCGAATCCCGCAATGTGGGGTCGTGGATGCGCACTGCTGAGGTGTCCCACAATAGAACGGAACGACCGTCCAGTGGTTCCAGGTTTTCCATGGTGGTCTAGCTTCAAATGACTCATGATCTCAACTACTGAAATTAATTATATATGTACGTAAGTCTTGTTTCTTATATCACTATATGCACTTATTACATAGTATTTATTTTCTTCTTTCAGACTGTTTAATTGGTGATGTTATTCTCGTTTAAAAACCCATAGAATTATGGATCTGATCAAGGTTCGAATAACAACTCCGTGTGAAGTGTTTATAAATTATTTTGAATGGTTGAATTCATGAGGCGATTATTGTTAAATCACCATGGAAATCCTGGAAGTACAAGACGGCTGTTTCATTTTGGTATGGGACTCCTCAGCAGTGAGCATCCATAACTCTTCCCTCGGGATTTGAACCTAGGACCCATCGGTCTCTCAAGCGAACCCTTAACCTCCAGACCATTAGGCTATTATTCACTAATGTACATATCTTACTTCAATCAATTCAGAATATTGCGCCACCACCTCTGATCGTCTTTGGTGGGTAACTTTCTCACACCCAACACGGTTGAATTCCACTGGTCATGACTTCTTACTAGAACTATCAAATTTTCCTCTGGAATCTAATCACTAAAAATTACATGATTATTTTTCACCATGCTTTCCCAGAATATAAAACTATTTACTTGTTTAAGAAGTAAATAACTTTCTACACTAACTCTTGGAAAAGTTCATTAAAACAGAATTTGAATATTTCAGTTTATTACTTTAGCATCAGTAACATTCGCTAACATGAGCTTGAATATTGAATAAGCGAAATTCAAGTGATTACTCTACAGTGTTGCAAGGTACTCCATTTTTTTTTATATTTTCAAGTTAATCTGGAAATTACTCAGTTGTATATTAAAGTGTCGTAAATTAATGGAAATATTTATGTGAATGAAGATAAATATTATGAGCTCTAAAGAAATGATCAAGTGATCAAGTATCCTTTAATGAAGTAGCGGAGTTTATTAAGATCTTCATCATTTATCCAATGAATTTGTGTATATCTGGATTGATAAAGTGAAACTGTATCTTCATAATTGATTATGTTCCACTGAATGGGCAACTTAAATATGTATGCTTTTTATGACAACGTTAGATTACATAAATAAATGGTTTATTTTGATGAATGATGCTATATAACTTGCGTATAGCTTGAATGGGAGGCTAATGTGTTTAACAACGTATCAGTATTCTATAATCTAAACAGTAAGACATTTAGTAAATGCTAAGAAGAATGAGAGTAAATGTTATGTATCAAGGTCATGAAGGATTTTAAATAAAACATTTGGCTGCTAAATATTTCATACGTTACTCTTAAAAATAACTAATATCCTCACTATTATTATTATACTGAATACAATTAATCATCCATTATTACTGTATTTACACTTTATAGAATGATTGGGTGTCATTCATAATTCATCTTATAATCAGTAGAATGTATACACTTGATTAATCAGGAAATTAAATTTACATAAATTAAAAGCTTTTTATTCAAATGGTCATTGATATGACGTAGCATCCGCAACAGTTTCAGTATATATCATCAAGTTGAGAATGGGAGTAACTACACATCAGATATTGAGTAGTAACTGATCTAAGTGATTTACAAGGAAAAGTATTACTTGGTCATATTACATCATAATTCTATAACTGAAGCCATCAACATGACATAAGGACTGGTATTATTAAAGTAATATGTTTTATATGATTGATGATAGTTGACGTGGAATACTCTAGTCGATATTCGTTTGTAAGATAATTCCTCAGTCTTGGGAGAACTGTTACTTATAGTGTTATTCGATCTCATGTTAAGAAATGTCGAATTTTGAAACTTATTGCTAAGTTAACCAGTTTATGATTTACATCTTTGAGGAATGAAGTAGTTACATTAAATAATAATCCTCATGTAGATCTTCGTAATTGCCTATAGTAATAAAATGCAATGCATGTGATATCCAATTAATAAATGTTATGTTCTCGTTGTATTTTTCAGTCGACACAGTTTGGTCAGATATACAAAGCACTAAAAATGTTGTTACTTACTGAACAATCAGTGTTATATTATGAATAGTTATGAGATATTCTTTAGTCAATGACTTGTGATGATAACGATAAGAAAATGAGGATCAAGGAGATCAGAAATCTTATATGACAATGCGATGATAAAATTTCAATGACTGTAATAGAAAATGGCAGTAAACGATCCTTTTCCTTTATTGTTATACCTATATTGCTGAAACAAGTCATAGAAATGATTCTAATTCAATCTTTGTAGTTCTGTGTAGTAGTCGTCTTAGACGAACCCAAAAGTTTGTTGGAGTATTAGCTATTCGGTTCTCATTTATGAGTTCAAAATTTTTCAAAATTCCTATCCTGGTTTTATGAATTATAATTTAATATCTAGTAATGTATGTATGTATGAAAATTTACCCTGTTTTACTTGTTATTCCTTTGCGTTTGTCTAGTTTAAGGTTTTCTTTTCCCACAAAATACGTCTTAATGAGTTAACCTATAATCAAACTATTTAAAATTTTTTGTGGTAATTTATCTATCAGATGATTCAGATAAACTACTTCTCATTACATCATCTACTTATCACCAAGTTAGATGAGGTTTATTTTCTAATACAAAATGTTTCGTTTGGGACTAGTCAGACAAGTATACCGGGATCACAGTGTTGATACTTACGACCAGATTCAAACGCAACACTTTTCCGCAGTATTTTTGTGCCTAGTAGAAAATAATACACATCCTGAATTTCACTATTAACCACTAACTGGATTTAATAAACCTTGAGACGAAATCAGAATTTTGAGAAAATCCTAATAACATATGGAACATTTTGCACCGAGATATAACTTGCATATCTTCTTAATTCCTTTTTTTTTTTAATGCTCAACCTAATATAGTTACTACTCAATATCTGATGTGTAGTTACTCCCATTCTTAACTTGATGATATATACTGAAACTGTTGAGGATACTACATCATATCAATGACCATTTGATTAAAAAGCTTTTAATGTATGTAAATTTAATTTATTGATTAATCATGTGTACCCTAGACAAACTTATCCCCCCTATTAATATATACATATATATTGTCAAAGTTTTTCACCTATGAATAACTTCAATATGTTTGGACACATTTCAAAAATGGAATACTTTCCAATATTTATTGACATATTATTATTGAGTATCCATTTTTAATAAAACAAAAAAAAAAGACAAACACCAATAATTGTCAGTTTTATAATGATCAATTACTTATTTGTTAGAATAGAGACAAAAAGGAAATGAGTACATTTATAAGTAAACAAAATTATATTCTTGTTACCTGATAATGATATGATTCTAAAGTGTTTTATTATAGCCCATAAACAAATTGAATATATATATATATATTGGCATTAAGTAAACTAATGATTATTTCATACAGTTAGAAAAAGAATGTATGACAGTGTCCAATATTCGTATTAATTTACCATAATTTAAAACAACCAAAAGAAAAGTCAACATGAATGAAATTAGAATATTCAATGTTTAATTAATGAATATTATAAAGGGATTTTTGGGGATATTATAGTAATTTCGATAGTTGAGATCATGAGTTTATTGAAGCTAGATTATTACCATGGAAAACCTGGAAGTACTGTTTGACGGCTGTTACGTTCTATTGTGGAACTACACAGTAGTGTGCACCAACGATTCTGGCTCCTGAGATTCGAACCCAGAACGAACTAGTCTCATGTGCGAACGCTTAGACTTTAGGCCAAAGATTCAGCATCCAACGGTGTTAATGTCTAACTTCAACTTATTCACGAAATTGAACGGCGCATTCACCAATGTGTTCCTGTCTCACAATAGACCCGGTTAAACTCTACTGTTGTGAGATAGTAACTCACTGAAGACAATGGTGGACGTGTTACTTAATTTCGTGGATTATTCAAAGTTAGACATTAACACCGTTGAATTCCGACTCGTTGCTCTAGATGCTAGGCGTTCGCACGCGAGGCCGGTTCGTTCTGGGTTCGAATCTCACCAGGCGGGATCGTGGATACGAACCTCTGAGGAGTCCCACAATAGGACGAAACAGCTGTCCAGTGCTTCCAGGTTTTCCATGATGGTCTAGCTTCAAATGACTCATGATATCAGCTATTTAAAAGTTTTATTAATTAATGAATTTCAAAAAAACTTCAGGAACAACTCAATGGGTGACTTAAGAAACGAACATCAATGGATGAGTAGAAGAAAATGGGAAAAACATCGATCTTTGTCAGTATGGTGAATATCAAATGTTGTGTCCTTGCTCTTTGCTATTGTCTGTCGGACTTTCAGCATTCATCTCGGATGAATGAGTTAAAATATGATAAAATAGTTTTTGATCATAATTACTTGTAATTATAGCTTAATTACAGCTAATTAGCGTTTGAAGAACTTGGTTGTTCTTATATTGCCCAAAATTGTAATATGTAATAATACTTATGTAACTTAAACAGACATAGACATGTAATAGTTTTTCATGAATCTTACAAGTGTAAATTATGTTTTTAGTTTACCAAAGGTTTTGATGTGAGTGACTTAATTTATAAGTCGCACTCATTACAGATGGTCTCATTTGAGGTACCACTGGAAATCACAGGGAACATGACACTTTGTCTTGTTACGTACCCTAGACTCCCCTAGGAATAAATCCTAAGACTTTCACGGTGAACCTTTGAAAATTTAAACCACAGAATCAGCGTTTGACGATGAAGTTCTCATTTAGATCTAATCTAAATATGATGTGACAACCAGCTAGTGACTAGCACTTAACTCCTGACAAGTCCAACTTCATATTGAAGATTAGAAGAATAGTGTGTCGGACAACCAACTACCTGTTTACTATTTTGTGTTCTTACTATAGACTTAATAAACTACAATATTATTTTAATTATAATAAGTCAATTTGTTAATTAGGTAGAGAAATATCAAGTATGAAAACATTGTTCCACTTACTTTCAATTAATTGACTACAATCATTTTGAGATAATATTCTACTGAAAACGTTTAAATTCATTGGTTTCATTTCAGTTTGTTTTAAACAAGCTTGATGTAGCATAACACATTCATTTAAATAAAATAAACCATTAACTGTACATATTGTACCACTATTCATATTACACATATGATTTTTTGCCATATCCATTAATGTTGGACATACACAGACACCAATAAGTTGATCAGAGTCTTTTGATAACCATTCTTCACAGATTGCACCAAAACGACATTCACGTTTAGAACAACCATCTGAAAATCGAAGACAGAAAAAAACAAAAAGGAATTATTAAAGAATGTAAAACGCCTTTTCTCGTGAATTCTGTTATATCAAAAGGGTTTTTGTGAATAATATAATTATTTCGATAGTTGAGATCATGAGTCAATTAAATCTAGGCCATCATGCAAAACCTAGAAGCGCTGGACGATTGTTTCGTCCTATTGTGGGATTCCTCAGCAGTGCGCATCCTTGATCCCGCCTTGCACTCGCGCGCTAGACTAATAGGTCCTGGGTTCAAATCTCGCGAGGCAAGGTCATGGATATACACTGGTGAAGAGCCCCATAGTAGGACGAAACGGTTGTCCAGTACTTCCAGATTTTCCATGGTGGTCTAGCTTCAATTGACTTGTGATCTCAACCATTGAAATTCCGTTTTAGTTATCATTTTATCAAATGTGTTACTACTTTAATCAGCAATATGAGTAGTACTATGAATATAATATAATTTCTCAATCAGTTTTGCATGAAAGTGTATTTATTAACTAAACAATGTCCTATGTTATTCTCAAATTATTCACATGGTTATTTTTTCACTATATGTCTCGCAGTCAAGCTGTGTTTTTTTCTATGATTAAATTCAACGATAAGCCTTTTGTAAAACAACAAATGAGTTTAGCTATAATTGATGTAAACAAATAGTTTCTATTCAACTATGTATATTTGCTTGTATACACTTAACGTAGTTTGGTTAATAGAAAGATAAAATATTTTAAAAGAAATATAATTCAGGATATGATGGTAATTTGTGTGCTATTTTTTGTGTTGTTTATAATAATGGCGCATTATTTCTCAGATTTCAATCAATATAGAGAACATATTTATTGGTTGTTCTTCAATGTAATCAATCAATCAATCAATCAATCTATATTCGATTATATTTCTTGAACCAAAAGTTGCAACATATGAATCTCATAGATTCCTAAGCAACGATATTGTGTTAACTGTTAAACGTAAACATTCCGCATTTAAACTTTTGGGGATATGATGACGTACAATCTCAAATTAAGAGGTTCTTTTGCTTAATTGAGTGTTCACTAAGTAATGAACAACGTTACGTTTGTCTAAGCCTATCTGCTGGATAAATCCTGTTAATCCAGTTGTAATATGGCCACTTGTATAAGTGGCTTTAAATCGTGTGAATTATAGCGATATTTTAGATAGATAGAATTCGAAGATAGTGTACATCATGGACATACTTTAGTTGGGTAACGTTTAAGGGTTACAGAAGACAAAATATTTTTTTTGTATTCGTATGGAAAGATAAACCACTAAATATCAACTCTGTGGTTTAAAACCAAGTTCGATCATTTAATGCTTGATATCTGTCAGAGTCAATGTAGTAACGTCCTATTCTAGCTTTGAAAAATAGTTATCCAATGCTCCTTAAAAATGTATATATCTATCCGGAAACGAAACAATTGTTCATCATTCATAACAGTCGGGATTCATTCTAATGATTATAAATGTATTGTTTCTCACTGAATTCTCTTTATTTCGTATATTACATAATCCTTAACATATCAGTTGTTCTGATTTGTAATTACATTATTACTTCTTATATTAATCATATTCATTGTGGTTATTATTCACCGAAATTTTACAATCTAATGTATAAACTTATTAAACTTAACATGGCTTATTAATCATTTCAACAGTGAATTTTATGATTAAGATCATGAATTGATTAATGTTAGATCACTATTAAAAACCTGGAAGCACTGAATGGTCATTTCGTCCTAGTATGTGACTTCTTCAGAAGTATACATCCACTATTTTTATCCCATCACATTATTCATCCTAAATCTTTGTAGTTTTAAAAGTTGTATTTACTTTAAGATTATTCATTCATTTACAAAATTAATCTGTTAAGAGTTCAATATAAAGAATATTCTTCATTCATATAACTGTGTTTTAATTGATTAGCTATGAATTCATCTTTGTTTTATTTTGTCCTTAATTAAACTTACGTTATTCAAAACAAAAAAAACAAGTACATGATTATGAATAAATAAATAGTCTTATTACAAATTTCATAGTAATACATATTTACTATTGAAATTCATTTCATTATATAAACATATAATGCAAGTAGTGAAATAAAAAGAAACTATTAACGGATGCATTAAAGATTTCACTAAACTTACCACCTTAGATAATAATCATTAATGTTTTCTATTGATGTACTTTATGAATAATATGTATTTTATGCTTATTATTAGTTATGTAAGTAAAAAGAGTGATCTACTTAACTAATACGTTATCAATATTTTTGATTGATATCATGAACCGATTGATGTTAGACCACCGTTGGGAAGCTGAAAGCACTGGTCGGCCATTTCGTCCTATTGTGAGACTCCTCAGCATCGTGCACTGCTGTGCTCACTAGTGGCTAGCTTCGTGAGGGAATTCTCGGAGTTCTAGTGAGAAGCCGTGACCAGTGGAGCTAATTTATGTCGGGTAGAGACAGGTATCTACTTCAATACAATGGAAGATGGTCGCGCAATTTCGTGGATTGGTTGATGCCAGACACTATCACCATTGGATGCCGGCTCAGTGGTCCAGTAGGTTAAGCGTTCACGCGCGAGACCGAGAGCCCTGGGTTCGAATCCCGCGAGGGGACCGTGGAAGCACACTGCTGAGGAGTCACGCAATAGGACGAAACGGTCGTCCAGTGTTTCCAGGTTTCCAAAGGTGCTGGTCTAACATCAGTCGGTTCATGATCTCAATCAAAAAACTTAATAATTTCCACAACCCCTATACTAGTACTTTATTAATATATCTATAAATTATAATAATAAACAAAACTGTTAGAAGATATTGCAGTATGATCAGTGATAATAAATGATAAGGTTTAGTTAAAGAATTAATTAATAAAAACAAATAATACTTCTTATATTTATTTATTTGTGTAGATCAACCACCAAACTAAATGAGTTTAAATTACAGTCTGCTTTGTTTAATTTTAGATGGATATAAATAATGGGTCGGGGGATTATAGATTAAGATTTTGTCTTCGTCGGTTCTCCTCAGCGGGGATGGGATATACATAGGTCTATGTAGCTAAATGGTATAGTGTTCCGGCTGTGTTAAAGTTGATCAGTCCTTATACAGTGAAGCCGATCGACTTTTCTAGAGATAGTTTGTGCTCAGCAAGGCTCAGAAATCTACCACGTGGATGTAATTCCGTGAAGGAATCGTTTTCTCAGGTATTTGCGCGTGGGTGTCGCATTAGTGATAAGTTTATTCTATATGTATACAGAAAGCACATAAGTTTTCACCGATACATTCCTTGGCATACACATAGGTATACTAACCCTGTGAGCATGTATACGTTACATGCACATCGATAACACACTCATGCATCCTAAAGTATACATATACGGTGTAAGTTACTTATGGTGAAATATATAAGTAATATGAAGCACCAGTCGGAATTTGAATGCCTGTCAGTAGAAGACTGAATTGAAGACAACAGAAAGGGAAACAGAGAGAAACTGCAATCAAAAGAGAATTGAAAGAATCATGAAGTATATAGAAGATAACAGATGGAAGATGTGATTTTCATATTTTATGAACGAACTACGTAATTTCGTATTAAACAAAATATTGGTTCCCACACCTCAGTTTTCGTTTACTACATATTCAGGAATATTTGCCCATGTAGTAAGAAAGATGGTCACCGTACCTTTTGAACATAACTGCTAAAGCTGACCGCCATCTATGCATTAAATGCACATTCCCTTTATGCAGACTTTCACCCCAGCGCTTTGTGACATATACATAAGTACAAAAACTTTTAGGGAGGGTGTCACCTCTCCTCAATATTTGCTACCATATTCTCTTAATATGTCTTCAACCCAAAAAATTAGGCCACTGATTTTATCAGACATAGGGCAGACATTTTTCAGCTTACGTTTCTTGTGGTAACCCACACATGTACCCTTTGCATACACCTGAATACACGAACTACACATGTCGAGACCTATACAAGTCATATACATAACCGTATGTACCTAACAGCTCTCAAGATTTTAGTGGGCCCTGGAATCGGAACTCAGTTGATTTTATTCAAAGCTGAGTGATGGTTTGATCCGATCTCGTCGACCGCCAAAGTTAGCTAGCAACGTTGCCCTTACTACCTAGGAGCGCCACGTGAAGGCTCTAAATCGGATTTTGCTGCTAGCTCAATGGTAATGTTTTTGAATAATTATAGAAATCTATTTGAATCCTTCCAAATGTTGTGTAACTGTCTCAATTACATCAGCTTATATTACATTCAGAAATGATATCGATCCTTGTTATCTATGAAAATGATACCATCCATTAAATCTAAGAGCAAACGACAGTAAGGTTAGTTACACTTTCTAGAATGTTGATTGACTCAAGTTTCCATTTTTTTTCCACCAACCGATAAAGGCTGTAATGACAGATATTTAACTATTTATAACTTCTTTCCGAGCGAATGTTAACTTAGGGTTTCCCATTTTATTTCAAACTGACTGTGAACAAGTAAGTATACAAAATAACAAATATCCTTGTTACCAGCTACATCTCAACTCTAATTAATCTAGTTTGATGATATAGTTGATTTTGATCAATACCATGTCAAAAGTAATAAAGTATTATCAAATACACTCATTTCAATCATAACATTGTTTTAATTACAAAATATAAGTGTATAATTTAATTTAAAAACAAATGAGATAATCCAACTGTCTAATCGTTTGAACTACATTCTAATATGGTTCGGTGGGGGGACACCAGTTAAATATTTCATCATCTTAATAACATTGTATTTTGACTTTTATTTTATAGATAAACTACTTGACGAAAGATAGATGGTGGCTAGTAGTGGAAGCCAGGAAGCGTTTGGTTATCAAGACTCAATAGCTAAGTGAAAAGCGTGACAGAGTTTGAAGCGAACGGTTTGAGTCCTGAAGTGAACACCAATTCTCGGATGCAGGTACATCCA